AGGCGGGTCACGTGGCACGGAGCTGGTCACGTGCTGCAGCTCCCTGCGTCACAGCCCGGAATCGGAGCTACTGTCTGTTGCTAGGCTGTTTTCCTGAGAGACCCGCCTGCCTCTATCTCCCGGGTGCTGCGGGTGCAGGCGAGCGCCGCCACCCCCAGCCCAAGCTAGACTCAAACCATCGCCGCCTCCATGGGCGTTAGTGACCCTGTCTTTAATCCCGGCGCTCGGGAGGCAGAGGCAGTGCCCGGACAACCTAGTCTTAGAGAGAGAAATCCCATCTTGGAAAATGGAAGTTTATGGCAATCCCCCTGCATCAGCCTCCGAGTACTGAGATGTCAGGCTTCTGCCTTTCCGCTTACCATGGATGTACCGTTATGGTTACTAGAGTAAGTGTCCTGGCTTGTCTAGGGATTTGGAGTGGGTGGTAAGGCAGAATAGAAAAGCCAGGCACCTTTGAGGGACTTGGGAAGAGACAGGACCCTGTCACCTCTACATCCAGCTGAAGCCATCTCTAGCAGAGAATTACCGATTGTTTAAGGCTTTTCTTACTTCCAGGCTGGAAACATACTATTTTTTAGCAATCTCACCAGAAATTCCATTTACAGGGAAAGGATACAAACTTAACTACACCCTTTTGCAACCCTGTGACTTCTGCTTTCCTTTCATCAGATTGGTTTTAACGGCCAACTTGACACAACCTAGAACCACTTAGCAAGATTCTTCATGATCAGGTTGGCTTGTGGGGGAACTGTCTTGATTAAATCTAACTGATCTGAGAAGCCCAAGCCCACTGTGTGTTGTGGAATATTATTTAACTAGGCAAAAATTGTTATATTTGTTAACTATGTAAAGATGTGTTGCTATTTCAACTTGTGTGCCCAAGGCTCCTAATTGGTCTAATAAAAAGCTGAAAGGCCAATAGCTAAGCAGCAGAGGGATAAGCCTAGGCTGGTGGGCAGAGAAAATGAGGAGGTGGAAGAGAGAATGAGAGGGAAAAGAGAGGGAGACACTTGGGGCTAGCCAGCTGGAAATGGAGTAGGACATACAGAATGAAAGAAAGGGAAAAAGCCCCAAGGCAAAACATAGACGAATAGAAGC